AGGTTATGGCCCGAGGGGCGCTGATATGCACCGGGTATTATCATGCCCGCCAGGACCCCTCTCCCAGCCTGTACAATTAAGATGCGGCAAGCGATTATTTTCACATGGTTCTGCTTGGTTTTGCTCCTTATCATTTCCTTGCGGTCGTGGGCAGGGCGGAGGAACATTTTTGTCTGCTCTCTATCTTCATTTTTTTTTTAGGGATGGGTTTTGTGTGGGGAGGTTCACAGAATACTGGTGAGAAGTTTGTTTGTTTGTTGTTGACCAGGCAGGTGTTGTAACCCACGTGTGTTGATCAGGCAGGTGTTGTAACCCACGTGTGTTGAACAGGAAGGTGTTGTCACCCACGTATAGTGACCAGGCTGGTGTTGTAACCCACGTATAGTGACCAGGCAGGTGTTGTAACCCACGTGTGTTGATCAGGCAGGTGTTGTAGCCCACGTGTGTTGACCAGGCAGGTGTTGTAACCCACGTGTGTTGATCAGGCAGGTGTTGTAGCCCACGTGTGTTGACCAGGCAGGTGTTGTAACCCACGTGTGTTGATCAGGCAGGTGTTGTAGCCCACGTGTGTTGACCAGGCAGGTGTTGTAACCCACGTGTGTTGATCAGGAAGGTGTTGTCACCCACGTATAGTGACCAGGCTGGTGTTGTAACCCACGTATAGTGACCAGGCTGGTGTTGTAACCCACGTATAGTGACCAGACAGGTGTTGTAACCCACGTATAGTGACCAGGCTGGTGTTGTAACCCACGTATAGTGACCAGGTAGGTGTTGTAAGCCCTCACCACCTTCTCTGCCCTTCACTGTATAAATGTTCGCCACACAGTGTCTTCAGCAGTATATAAACTACATGATACAAACAAACAAACACGTAAATATCATGAAAAGATGGTATCTCGTATTTAGTGAGACTGGAAGTAAGTAACATTTGCCATTTCGTGCAAAAGGATGTGCAAGTGAGTCGATCCGCCTATGGCCATCTCCGAGCAAAGACCAGTCACACTGCAAAGTTTAGCAAGGCTAGCCACAAGCGTCTGGCTTGCACCCAACCTCGAACCGTCGTTACGTTCGAGGTTGAGACGAAAAAAAACACTAAATCACTTAGTTTTTCCATTTTAATGCAAAATTTTGTCAACAAGGTGACATGAGGAATATTCACTTGGTACAGAAAATACGTATATACTAAAATGACATGCATTCATAATGCCAGAGAATCCCAGAAAAAAATCAGATATAAAAAGACCGCAGACATTGTATCTGGAGCAGAGATACGAATGAACTGACATAATGTAGTTCACAGTAATGAAACTGACATCTTGAGATGGAAGTTCGGCACTACGATGACCTTGAGAAGCCACGGGCTGAACCCTGTAAGAAAGGCATCCGTGGCACTTACAACTCTGATACGCATATCCAACCTCTTCCACAATAGCGGGATGCAAAGCCTTTAATGAATCCCAAATTCCGCCATTTAGAGTACGCAGCACTCTCCTGGAGTGCCTTCCATCATTATCCAGAATTCTCAACAATGCAGAAAGAGAATCGGACGAAAAGAATCATCTCTAGTTTGGTTGGACTGATCAGGACACGAGAGCCTTCAATACTGTAGAGATGTTGGGGGCCATTCTGGCGTGTATATGGCCAATATTTTCAAGATTTCCCCACCTGGCCCACCTGGCCCACCTGGCCCACCTGCCCCACCTGCCCCACCTGCCCCACCTGGAATAACCAGAAGTTAGCAACCGTAACATGAGGTGTTCTACCATCAACAGCCTCATTCTGGCTGAATGAGGCCAGAATGAATGAGAGAGAGAGAGAGAGAGAGAGAGAGAGAGAGAGAGAGAGAGAGAGAGAGAGAGAGAGAGAGAGAGAGAGAGAGAGAGAGAGAGGGAGAGGGAGAGGGAGGGAGAGAGAGAGAGAGAGAGAGAGAGAGAGAGAGAGAGGGAGAGGGAGAGAGAGAGAGAGAGAGAGAGAGAGAGAGAGAGAGAGAGAGAGAGAGAGAGAGAGAGAGAGAGAGAGAGAGAGAGAGAGAGAGAATCAGGTAGAGAGAGTGTACCGCCTGCGGCAATTGGTTGAGGGTCGTGGCCAATCGTGTGAAAATATTGGCTCAATTTGGCTGGCCAGCGGCGAAGCTCGGCCAGTGCCTGCCTGGTGATTACCTTACTCATCATGGCGGGCAGGAGGAGGAGGAGGAGGAGGAGAAGGGTTGGGGGGAAGGAGGAGGAGGCACTTACCTACCAGTGACTATGAGGAAGTGAGGTCTAACACCTCACTCACTTCGTGCGCCTTGTATTAGCCGTGTTGTCTGATACATCTTATAATTCCTTTTTTTTAATTCTTGACATTATACTGTGTATGGAGGAGTCTTGTACTCCCTGACCACTCGTACAGACGAGGACCCTTGCCTTATATATAATCAACTTGATAATTTCCGTATTCAGTTTCCACCTGTATTCTCTTATCCTATTCCTTCCGGCACTTTGTGCCTTGAAATCTCTGT